TGATTTGTTATGTGTCAGTAGCTGACTGCAGAGTGGGAGTCTAGAAATGCCAAATCCTCCTCCACCCCCTCCTTCTGGGTGGATTCCTGTTGAGGGTGAAGGGAAAAAGCACACTAAGTAAAAAATAGTCCAGGCATAATGGCACACACCTATAATCTCAGCGCTCTTTCAGGCTGAGAAGCAGGAAGATCACAAGTTTTCACCCAGCCTGGTAATGTTAGTAACTTAGTAGATCAACAGACAAATGGATAAAGAAACTATGGTATTCACCCAAAATGGAGTACTACACTGTCACAAAGAAGGATAAACTTGAACCATCTGTAGGAAAACGAATGCACTTTAAGCTCAGAATGTTAGGTGAAATAAATAAGACACACAAGCTTAAATATTGCATGGTTTCTCTTACATGAGAAACCTATAATATAAGCAAAGAGCAAAATAAAAGATAGTAGGAAGTAGGGAGCTAGATCTTTCTCAAAGAAGTAGGGCATCAAAAGATGGAGGGAGGGGAAAAAGAGGGAATGAAAAAAGAATTCAGAGGCGTTATGTACGTATATCAACTCTGCACATGGAATGTCATCATTATATACAGCAAACATGTGGTAATAAAAATGTTTCAAAATTTTAAATTTTTTAAAAGAGCTGGGGGGTTGTAGCTCCGTGCAAAGGCCTTAGGATCACTCCCTAGCTCTGGAAAAAAAAAAAAAAAAAGTAAAAAAGAAATCAAAGAACGGCTAAGATGTAAGAGTACTCTCTGTGATTAGCAGTGCTGAGATTTGAGGGCGTACATATCGCAATTTTAAATGGGGTAACAGGGAGGCGGTTCACTGTGGAAGTGAACCACGTAGATAATTGGGGAACAAACCTTCCAAACCGGAGGCTGGTGCAAAGGCGTGGGGAGGGGGCGGACCGCGGTGCCTGGAGTGTTTGTGTTTGGAGAACAGTGAGGCACCAGTGAGGCTGAAGGAGAGCCAGTGGAGAGGCGTACGGGGAGATCAGAGGTAACACATTTTCCCTATGAACCTGCCAGCATTTATTGGAAAGCGCTCCCTTAACCCAGTCTGTAAAATATTTAGCTGGGACAGCTGCGTCCGTGGTCCTTCATGTAAACAAGCTCACGTGATCGGTGCAGTTTTCGTACCCTGGATGCCAAGGCCCCGGCCCCTCTGAAAATGCACGTGCTCCGTGTCCCTATGTAGAAGGGCCTCTGCTGGAACGCAAGGCGCACAGGCTCTTTTGTCACTTTGATTCTATGACCAGAACGTGGGCAAGAGTATCCCAGGAGAGTACGAACGGATGGGTGCGTGGGGGAAATAATTCATAGTTGCATCTCTGGTACAAGGAGAAGAGGCCGGGTACACCCGCTGTGCTCTATCGTAAAAACCTAAATGGGAGAATGTACTTAATATCTAGATTGTTGCTCGGGCTCCAAATTGCCAGAGAGCAGGGCTGATGTCCACCTGTCAAGGAGGCACTAAGAATCTTGTTATCAGCGGGAAGGAGCACCCGGAACTTCCTAAAGTCTTCGCTGTGTCAGAAGGACGAATCCATCGTAAGTGAGGTGGAGACTTGGGGAGGACACAGGGTCTGGCACACGTTCAAATTCAATTTACTCTAATTTCTCGTCCAACTCTGTCCCTCAAAAGGCTGAAATTGATCTCTGTCACCACCTGCAGCCCAAAAGCTGCATTGCAAGCTCCCGTCTGAGAAAATCTGCCTTTTAGGGCAGAGACAGATTTCTCTGCGGATACACAGATTCCTTCTTAATAAAATCACAAAGAACTCTTTTAGTTAAGCAAACGTAGTCCAACCAGAAATGTAGTCAAACAAGCTGAATTCCAGTGCTTTGGCCCAACATGTTAACTTTCTATTTATGCTCATTGCACTCATTTCTGTCAAGTTCATGCAATGAGATACTGTAGTTGTGTGTTTTAGAAAATGACATCAGGGAAATGTGATGTCCATTAGAGTTTCTTTACTTTTCTTCACTTTTGTTTTTTCATCCCTAACTCTGGGTCAACTTCCCAAATGTGACATGTTTTGTGTGTCCTCTAGACTTTATGTATGTTGTTTTGTGTAGTTGTTCATGGGTGTTATGAAAATGTACAGGATGGGACATTCAGATAAAATTTGGGCCAAAGGGAAGCTTGACTTGATTCTGAATCCTGGTCGTAATGGTTTAGAGGGTGCAGGTCTAGAAGACCCTGAATACACTGCCCTCTGGAGGAAAATTGTTCCAAAGCTTCATGGAATAAAGATGAGGTTCTCTAAATCAACTGCTGCCTGTATCCGGAGCCTCCGGTAGACGTGCACACAGCATGCACACACACTGATGTGCACACACGGCACACATATGCATGCACATTTGTACACTATATACACTCACACATGGATGCACGCATTTGTACACTATACACACACACACACACACACACACACACACACGGACACACGCATAGTTACATGCATGCACCTTCCCCGCCCCCTGAGCTTGCTGGCCCACCTGATTGGACATTGCAACCCTGTGTTCCAATCACCACTTTGCCCTGTTCCCAGAACTACCAGTTCACTCTGAGATATAAACAGCGGATAAGATCAACACATGCCCCTCCCTCATAGTTATATAATTATATTGTTCATGGCCTGGTTGCAGAGTAAAGGTTTTGGTGTGGTCTCTAGGAAAGAGAAGGAATTTCAAAGGCGAGCCTTGCTTGCTTTCATTTGTGACTTTTAAATCCCTAATGCCAGAACTATCACTATTTCTACTACAGTCCTGTGGCATGTTGCTTCGTTTTGTTTTGTTTTGTACTGCGGGGGCTCAAATCCAGGGCCTTGCACACTCTGGGCAAGCACTCTACCACTAAGCTACACTGGGCAGCCCCAGTGGAGAGAACTTCATGTTTATTCCTGCAAAGTTTGAATCAAAGACCTGTGTGCCATTTGGAATGTCTTCCTACTCATTTACAAAGCAGTCAATAAATATTGGCTTTTATCTGTAACATCTGGTCTTGCCACCTACACTGTGTGCCCTTGAAGAATCAGGCAAGGTATCTTTGAAGCCTTTGTGTTCTTTTTCTCTGCCGAGCGCTAACACAGCAATAGTATACATTAGATGCTCCAGATGTTTTCATACTTACTCAGAGAACCTGATCTAGTTTGGGGTAAGGCTCACTAGTAGGAGGAGACCTGATCATACCTGAGTGGTCCATAGGCACAAACCATGAGCAGAAGGCCAGCAAAAAATGGTGATCCTATGTTAAAAAAAATTAGTTGGGAGACTACTAGGTGGAGACAACTCCAGAGCCTCCAATTTTTGCTTAAGCAAATTAAAATGCAACTCAGAGGGAACTGTCATAGCCTAGGAAAACAAAACTTCAGATTAACCAGCCAGAAACCAACAATTAACTTCTAATTAGAGACTTTACCAATCAGAAACCACCAACTAAGCTTAAGTAAGGACTTTACCTTTAACTAATTCTTCGTTCTCTTGGTTCTGAAAAACCTTGCAAAGGTACACACACACACATACACACACACATATACACACATGATCCTTCAGCAGAACACTAAACAACCTGCAATTTGGCACTGCCTGCGTCATGATTATTCAAATCAACTCTTTAAAGTTTCAGTGCACTTACACTGAGGGGCCAGGCTGACTGTGGAACCAGAGCATCACAGCCAGCTCAGGTAGTGTCAGACTGAAGACAGGGGAGGCTGGAGAGGAGGAGGAGGAAGCTGGGATGAGCTGACGCCCTGCTAGCACTTGAGTCCAATAGTGATCACAGGGGCCCAGACTTAAAATCCCAGTCCTGCCTGAAACAGGTCCTCCAGGCACCCAGATACCATCTAAACTCTGAGCAGCCCCCACCCATCTTCCCATTTTAATTCTCAGCAGCTCCTCAGGCACAAGCCTCAGCACCAGATGACTCACCACACCCCGGATGTGCTGGGAGCTGCCCTCTATCACACCTTCCGGAGTTGTTCCTGGTTAGAATGCTCATGCCTGTGCTCTTTGTCTCGAAAAGTCCCTCCCCTCTGCTTTGAGGCCCAGATCAGATGCCCTTTCCTTTGTAAAGCAAGGGCCACTCCACCTCTGTGCTAGAAGGGCATTCCTCCAGCTTGCTGCTGTAGCCCCTTACATTGTATCATGAACATCCAACCAGAACCAAGTGGTTTGTTCCACCAGTTCCTTAAGATTGTATACTTACTTGGCATTTTCTCTGTACCAGTTGCTGTGCCAGCCACTGCTGATGCAAAATTAGATAGAATGTGCCTCCAAAGAGCATACAGTCCCAGCACATACAACAACAAGATAACCAGGTACTGCAGTAGTTGGGGGCACACACCGGCTAGGGAGAGGCAGCTCATGGAAAGAACCAGCAGCCGGGAAACACCTCGTGTCTCTCCTCCACTGAACCCTTCCCGTAGCTTCTGTTTGCACTGAATACACAGAAGCCCTTACTTTGTCTTCAGGCAATGCCCAACTCAAGCTTGATGACCCTGCTTACTTCCCGACCCTTCCTTGCTCTCCAGGACGCAGCCCATCTCTGGCCTTTTGCTGTTATTTGAACACACCAGCTCCTTTCTGTATCAGGGACGGTGCCTTTCAGAGGTCATTCCTGGCAACAGATCTCTCCCGAGATTACTCCTTGTCCCAGCTCCTTTCACCTCAGCCCAAAGAGTCCAAAACACCCTGCAACAACAGGTTGTCTGCTCCAACTTGAACTGCACAGCTTATCCATGCAATGGAAGAGGACCAGGGCTCTGAGAACTAATGCCAGCGCTCAGCGGAGTTCCATCCTGGCATTCCCACAGGTGACAAGTCACCTCAACTCAGGGGTTCCACAGAGGCCTTGAATTCAAAACATGCAGGGGAAGCTGTGGGTGGCTTTGGAATGAGAACTTGCCAAGTCATCCTTGCCTCTTGTACGGAATACAGCACACAGGACCATCTGAGGCCCTGTGATACTCTCCTGATGTACCAATTACCATGAACGTAGAGACTTCACACAAGGCACGTTTATTATTTTACAATTCTGGGGGTTAGAAATCTGCAATGGGGAGCTATACTCCCAGGGAGGGACTGGAGGAAGATCTGTTCCTTTGGGTTTTCCAGGTGCTAGGAATCACCTTCATTTGTTGGCTTATGGCTCCTTACCCCATCCTCAAAGTTAGTAGGATAGCATCTCCTAATCTCCTCTGCATCCTGCATCTGTCTCAGGGACACTTGTGATTACCCTGAGCCTGCCTGGATAACCCAGGGCACATAACTTATCACATTTGCAGAGTCCCTTTTGTCATGTAAGGTAACATAGTCACTGATTCCAGGGATTAGGATGCTGACATCTTTGACGAGCCATTCTTCTGCCTGCCATAGACCCTGAGTAACATGTTCTTGGTTTGGGGTACCAGGCTGAAACTCGGTCTCCCATGTCCCTACCGACTCTGTTCGAAGTAGAACTGAGTGTGGGCTGAGGGCTCACTCTCCTTGGAGAGCCGTACAGGCTGCTGGGGCTCGTCGGGGCCACACAAGAACCAGCCAGGGTAGGCGGCAGCCTCAAGCCTGAAGGCAGAGCCCAAGCTGCTCTGGAAGAAGGTGAAGCGGGTCGCCTGCTCGCCTCCCTTGTACAGATCCTCGATGTTTACATCCTGTGGGAGAAAGTGGTGGCTGCAAGGTGAACCTGCTGAGTTGGACACCAGCCCTAGAGGCCTCCAGGGTTTGGCTAAAGAGGATTCAACAGGGTAGGGCTTTACGAACAGATATGCCTCCTGTAGGTTACAGAAGGCAAGGGTCTTGGTGCTGGATACAAAGGGAGATGATGGCAACCTGAGGAAGGGGAACATGTGGCCCTGACCAGGAACCCACAGGTGGGTGCAACATGGCCAAGCATCCAGGGGTCAGGCTGGGTCTGCCATAGTACTTCCCACAATGGGGAGGGATTTCTTACCTCCAGCTGTAGGGAAGGTCCCTCTCGTGTCTCCACACACGCCAGGCAGCGACTCCCTCCCTGGGTTCCTAGGAAGATAGGGACCTTGGTGCGGTCCAGACCTCTGTTAGGAAGTATGCAGATCTTCTCTGGGAAGAAAGAGAGGAGGTGAGAGATAGGGAAACTCAGGTTGCAGGCTCTTGGCAAGTGAAAGGCAAGCAGGAATAAAGAGGGCCTGGGCATACCTGGCCTGGCTTGGGCCCTTTCTGCAGACTGCAGGGAGACTAGGACCCCACAGGGGTCAGGCTCCATCACTAGGATTGGCTGAGACTAATCCCTGCCTCCTCCCAGGAGCAAGTGCTGACCCTCTGAGGAGAGAGTAGGGGAGTGAGTAGAGCGGGCTGAGTCTCCGGGGAGGCCCCTGAAGCTCACCTGCGTTGCACTTGTCTGCATCGGGATCTCCCACCAGAAGCTGGTCATCTCTTGTGTACACAACTTTCTGATCCACATCTCTGATTCTGGAACACAGTGACAGGGCTGATAGCCTGCTGCCCTAGGTCAGCACTGAGTCCCCAACCATTCCAGCCCCATGTTGTAAACCATCACACTGGGCATTTGGGGGAATCTCTTCCCTTCCACAGGTGAAGGGAGGAGCACCAGTCTCCCAGGAGCAGGCACAGACCTGGCCAGGCGGAAGGCAAGGGAAGCCTCCTGGGTTTGTGTCTCTCAGATGCTATCAGGAGTGGGGGCTCCAACCCCTTCTCATAGAGGAGTAAAGAAAACTTTCCTAGCTGTCTGAGAAGTTCCCAAGGTGACTTTTATCCCACCCAGCTTTTCTGGGTCTGCCCCATTTTTCATAGATATGTGGGTTTTTTTTATAAAGAAACTAATTGAGTGTGCATGATTTACTCTTCAGACTTTTTAAGGACTTTGCGGAAAAAATTCACCAATCAAAAAAAAAAAAAATTCCCGAACATTCTCTGTCATAGGAGAGATCCAACAGGGCTACCACCCACTCTGGGCAGGGCAGAGGTATGCTCTGGGTGGACCAAATACAGGATGTCCCCAGAGAGCCGGTCCCTGGGGGCGGCTGTGGTTCTAATGACCAGCGTGTAATGACCTTCAGTACGTGCAGGGAAGCTGGGGAGAAACCGTGGTGAGCACACAGTCCATTAAAGTCATGCAGATTATGAGGTCAATTGCTGGGTTGGTTTCACAGATAACTGGCAGCTGCTCTCAGGGCCCGGGGAGCTCTCAATACCTTTGAGGCTGAACAATTGGACCAAAGCCACCACCTCCAGGAGATTCTTCTCTTTCGGTAATAGCTAGTTATAATACCTTCAGCTGATGACTGCATGCTTCCAGCAGGTTCACTTGTATAATAAAAATAAAGGTCTAGAAAGATGCTGGGCTTGCCAACTGGCATTCTTCCTCAAACCCTGACAGTTAGGATTTTACAGCTCACCTGCCAGCTGTATCCTTGTTGGAGACCAGTAAATTACAGCCAAGGATGCAAACCTCACAGGAGGCCAAATGCAAATAAGAGTTGGAAGCCTGGGCTGGGAGTAAAGGCCTCAAGGCCACCATCAAGGTGCTGTCATGGAGACTGAGGACTGTGTCTGGTTTTCAGGGAGAGGCCAGTACAACAGCACAGAGGACGTGGAGTCTGACCTCTGGCTGTGCCTTTTGGTGGCTACGCCACATGGAGGAAGTTAGTTCACTTCTTTGAGCCTCTCTTTCCAGATCAGAATGGAAGTGGTCCACTCCTCTTACAGCTGTCTTGGGATAGAGGTGAAATACAGCTGGGATACAGGAAATACAGCTGTTGCTCTTGGAAATACAGCTGGGATAAAGGAAATACATCTTGGGATACAGGAAATACAGCTGTTGCTCTTGTGGTGATGGCCAAGGATAATTATGGGTCATTTCAAGTTTCTCAATGAGAAGGAGCCCCGCCCCCTCTGACTCAGCCTTCTTTTCTTCTTCCCATATGACCCCCAGACCCCCTGATTGGGAAAGTGTGGTCACACCAGGATGACTTACATGTAATATCTTGCCATGGGGAGCGAGCACATTCCTGCGATCAGGTGTGTCTGGTCCTCACTAAAAGAAAGGAGGAAAGGGCTGTTAGAGAGGGCAGATAGATGGAGCCTGGGACAGACACACAGGGCTCAGAATTACCCAATTGCAGGGTGCAAAAGCCACTTACTTATAATTAGGCTGCCAGAATCTGCCTCACCCGCCCCTCCTCATCAAACTCCAGGCAGCTCTGCCTGTCCCTCTCTTGGGAGCCAGTGAAGCCGGAAGGAGTATGAGCCTGGAACACGTGCCCTACTTCCAGTTCTGGAACACCAGAGAATAGATTTCCCCAGTAACTTAACCAGGACACTCTCCTGACTGAGAGTGGGGTAAGATATCCTCCAGCCCTACAGTTTTGAGGATAAACTCAGGGCAGTTCCAGTCCCATTCCCAGCCTGGCCCGAAGGTCTCTGCGCTCCTGTTTTCCTACCCAGCCAGAGGTGAGCCACCCAGAGCCCAGAGCCCAGAGCAGAACAGCGTTTCTAGGAGGAGCAGACAGGGTCTCCCTGGAGAGTCAGGGTGCATCATTCCCCGAGGCTGGAATCACTGTGCAGAGATTGTTAAGAAGAGCCTATCCAAGCTCCAGTTCTGTTCCAGGTAGAAAACAGGACAGGCTTGGGGTACAGAGACTCGCTTTTCTGAGGGTAAACCACCTAAAGTGAAGAGAGTATCCCCATGCATACCCCAGGCCACCACACTTCACTAGACTCTGCTCCTTTCTGTTGAATTATCCTAACCCAGAGCTCTTCCTTGACATGATGCCACCTTCAGAAAAGCCAACCCAGAGTGCAGTGTGGAAAGAAACCCAAAACAAATCCATCAGAAAACAGAACAAAAAAGTAAATGTAGGGATGACGCCCGAATAGATCTGATTCTTACTAAGTAAGAAGTGGAAAGAAAAAATATATGAGGAAGCAGAAAATAGGAGACAGGAAGGGAGGAAGGGAGGAAGGGAGGAAGGGAGGAAGGGAGGAAGGGAGGGAGGGAGGGAATATGGCTCTTTGGGAGAGGTAGGCAAGGAGGAATAGGTTGATGCTGACAGCAGTTCAGTCACTTCAGCACTGAGATCTGTGGCCTGGGAATTAGAAGAAACAGGGTTCTAGCTAAGGTGGCTTTCAGCCCAGGATCTGCCGCTGTCATCTTGCACAAGTCATTTTCTACCCTTAGGCCTTGAGGCAGTTTAAGTGTTGGTGAGAGTGAAAGATAACAGAGCACCAAAAAAAGCAGATGGATGGATGTTGGTATTATGAATCAAAGTCCTAACACACTCCTGATACTTTGTAACTACATGCGCTGCTCTTATTCTGAGGAAAAATGATGGACTTCCCAACATTTAAAGATGTTCACTGCATCACTTTTTATAATACTGTGAAGTTGGAAACAGCCTATCCATCATATAGGCGATTGATGTGAAAAGTATGACAAATTCAGAAAATAAGACATATGTATACATTAAAATGGTATAACAGAAGAACACATTATGACACAAAAATTTCTCAAGAAAAATAGAGGTTGTGAAAAACATGTACATATAACCCCATTTAAATCCACATACACTGAAAGCCACACCTGGTGACACAATACTTGCTTACAGGGTTATGAGTGATGTTTTAACATTTTAACATTCCTAACTCTTCCCCTAATGAATATTCACTGCCTTTGCTATATAAAATAAGTTTTAATTTTTTAAAAATTAGCATCATTGGCTCCCAAACTTGACCGCCCATCTGAGTCCACTAGAGGACTCTTTAAATATTATTTCTTGGGCTGAAGGTTCTGATTCCAGTGACAAGGCAGGCATGGGCATTGGTATACTAACTAAGTTCTTCTCATTCACAAATACAGACTGTGGTTGCCTAGGTTTGGGTCAGGGCCCAAGACTCTGCATTCCAATCATGCAGCCAGGGATGCTAATGCTCCTGGTACCTGGGCCACACTCTGAGTAACAAAGTGGTAGCTGATTCCCTAGACCACGTAGTCCAATGCCAGCATGGCCCTTCTGCAAACCGTGTGATGTGTTTCCTCTTGGCCAAACTTTTGGGGCTCCTTTGGTTGTGATAGCAGAAGTATGGGCAGCCCGGTAGCTGTGCTGAGACCCAGGAGAGCCAGGAAAGTGGAGAGCCCTGTGAGAAATGAAGCTGGGCGGGCAGGCTGATAGCTCCCAGGCTTGGTTGGTGTCAGCTCAAAGAACTGCAGAAATTCAGTGGTGATGTAGTCCAACTGGATCCTATGGGCTCTATGGAAACCCCTATCCTGGCACAGCTAAACTTCCAGCATTTCTCCCAGTACTCCCATATCACACCCCTCTGCCTCGGTTCTGGCTGGACTGGGATGCGATGAGTAGAAGTGAGAGGCGGGAGTCCTGCTGCTGGCCATCTGCCAAGATCCTTCCCAATGTTGCCATGCATCCCCTCCCCAAAGCCTTCCCTTCCATGTTGATCCTAAATGACTTTCCACTGAACTTTGGCCCATTTCTCTCCTTCCTTCCTCTACCTCCTCCCTGGATGTGGCCCCGGCTGTCTCACACCTCCTCAGTTCTCCCTTCCTGGATCACATACAACTGATAGATAGCCCCAGGCTTTCCCCATCTTCTTCCGCACATCACACCTGTCCCATCCTCTTCCCATTGCTCCACATATTATCTATGTGGGGTCTGTTCTCTCCAAGACTTGGCATTAACCTGGGCGTTCACTCGCATGGAGCCAAATCCAAAGACTCGGATTCCTTGGCCACTTGGTCACTGCATCCCTGGAGCCCTTGACACTGATTGGCTCACTTCACACCTCTCCTGCTCTCTGCCCCAGGCCCATTGTAGATTCTCCCTCCTTCTGGGACTGTCCCTAAGACCAACAGTAACAAAGCAAAGAAAGCCCTAAGCACTGCTGTTTCATATCCCATAGAGTTGCAAGTCATAAATTTCTGCAGTGGCAATCATCATCTTGGTCTAATGCTTCCCAAGCCCAGTCTGAACATCCTACTTTATCCCCAGCCATCTACAGGACACCCCTCTCCACCCTACCCTCACACTCAACCAAATACATCAAAGCTTAAACTATTTTCTACCCCTGTAAACCTACTCATCCCTCTCAACTCCATTGATCTCACTCCTACAGTATTTTTGTTATCAGAGAAGTTCAAAACCTGAGATACATTGAAAATACTTCCAGTTTCTCCTGATTTATGCCTGTTTTGTCTACAAATTGTGATGGATTATTCCTTGGAAATACAACTTGTGTTCTTAATCATCATTCCAACTGTGCTAGCATTCTGTTTTTCCACCTTCAATTTAACCCAACTGTGTGAAGCCCCTGAACTCATTGTATAAGTTCTTGTCCACCACATCCCAGCCTAGCGCTGGGGTCTGTAGTGGCAGCTCACTTTGCCACCATGGAGCCCTGGTTTACTTGTATGACAATATCTCACTTCTCTGTGGACACTAAATCACTTCGGGCCACACAACTCCTTTCCTGTCTTCTCCATGGACGTGGTGAGCATTATCTTTGATTTCTTTGTCTCAAAATTCATCTCTCCACATCACTGTCCTTTCAGATCTCTCAGTATTCAGATCACTGGACATATATCAATATATATGCGTTTGGTGTTCTAGTTCTTCCCAATAAATTATTGGCTCAGGGCAAGAGCTCAGACATAGGAGGTCAAGTCACTTAACCCCCAAACCTCAGGATTGACATCTATAAACTCAAAGGATTAGATTATGTGGTTGTTAAGGTTCTTTTTAGGTCAAACTGTCTATGATTTCATGACTCAGGGTTTAATTAGTCCTTTCTTTACTATTGTCACACTATTTTGAACTCCTATTAAATTTTATTGTATCCTTTATTGTTTCACATTAAGATATTTACTGCATAGGTTATACCTCACTTAAAGCTCTCTCCAGCCACCCTGACACATATAGCTACTTACAAGCAAGACATAGAAATTCTCACAGAGGCAAGCATGGTGGTGCATGCCTATAATCCCAGCACTTGGGAAGCTGAGGCAAGAGAATCGTTGTGAGTTCAAGACCAGTCTGGGCTACAAAGGGAGCTCAAGGCCAGCCTGAACTCCATGGCAAGATCCTGTTTCAAAAAGACAATAAATAAATAAATAAATAAAAATTCTCACAGGACACACGAATGCCAAGGCTGGGTTCTAGACTTAACTTTGCTATCAAGTTTTTGCTACTGATTTTTCTTGCTGCCTTTTGTCCCTGGGCCTCCACTTTGCACTTATTGGAATGAGATGTTGGGAAAGGTCACTGGTTTACGAAACTGTTTTAAGTTTCATAGTAAGATTTTTACATAGAGACCTGATACATGTAAAATGGATAAAGGGATTGGCTTTTGCTGAACAGGAACTGGGAAGGCACTGGGACCCTGCTGGTGTTCCTCTTCTCCGCAGCTGGCACTGGGCATCTCAAAGGACTCCCAAGCTCCATCAAACACTTCTTAAATTCCACTGGCCTACATTTCCTCTGAGATTACTTTCTAAAATCTGTGGTTCCAAGCACTTAAAAATCTTGATTAGACTTATCCTCTACCTTTCCTCAAACCCCTCTATCTGCTCTGAGTCTTACTGAGTATCCCGCCACATTCTGTGAAGAGGATTCCTCGTTTCCTAGGCAACTTTGCCAGGAGGAGCTAAGGGGCCGCACTTCCAAGAAACTGGCAGAAAGGAGGAGAAAGAGAGCAAGGCAGAGCAAGAAAGGGAGCATATTTTATCCATCACTGACCTGCAGATCCTGGGTGCCTGGAACCCTGATGTCTGAAACCTCCAACTGACTTTTCAAGGGCAGCTCCACTGTGTTTATACTGTCTGGTCGGGGTGGGTCAAGCCTGCAGTGATCTCTGTAACTAGCTCCAGGGGGAGAGGAAGAAGAGTCCAGAGATTTCACAATGTCTTCAACACACTATAGATAATAAGAAGGTGGGGAGATTAATGAATGCCTGTTGAAGGAAGAGAGAGTCACCTATAAAGCCTTTCAGAGGCCAGACACTGAGCCCAACTCTGCAGCTACTGTCATTGACTGTTATTAGTGGTTTAGCAGCCAGATAAACAGTACTGGATCAGACATCTCTGATGCCCCAGGGGGCTCCATCTGAGGCTTGGAGAGATGGTGAATGCAAGAAAGTATGTCTGAAGGGGCCAAGGACAGAGCAACCTCCAGTACTTGAAGCCGGGGTGGGGCCAGGGCTTCAGAATGAGAGTGCGGACTGATAGATAGTGAGGATGACCCTGTTTGGAAAGATGGGAGAAGAGTCTCTGTTTTTCAACAGGTTTAATTAGTTGGTACCAGCTGGGTGAGACAGAGCATTTAAGGAAACTCAGCTGCAGAAGATATTAATCTTAGGTTCACCCTAGCACTGGGCAAGTGCTGTGTGGCCTGAACTTCTACAGAATATGCAATGCAAGCAGAACAAGGTTAACAAACTCACAAATATCAGTTGTTAACTGATATTAGTCCTCTCAGTCCAACCACTGTCCAAACATCAACCAATCCATCTGTCTATCCATCCATCCATCCATCCATCCATCCACCTATCACAAGGGGCAGAAAAACTTGGGCATAATGGCTTCCGGAGGCAGTCTTATTTAATTCTGTTTCTCAGGTCTTTTGTAAAGTTCCATAAAGGGTTTGATGAGGTAATGAAGGACATTATTCTGAGACCCAGATACCTATAAGATAAGAAATGAAGGCAGATGGGCAGGAATGAGACTACATTTTTGTTGTCTAAGGCAAATGCTCATTCCTTACCTAATCTCTCGCCCTTCTGTGGGAAAGGCCAAAGTGGGTGGTGTTAACATTTACACTGCTATGTGACGGAAACACACACGGTACACAGTCTGTATTGTTAAGCAGCTCTACAGTTCAGCAAGGAGGTAAGTCATAAACATTTGAAGGATAATTTAAAATACTAAACTCTCTAAGCTGTGGGTCAAGAACATGCTGGAAATAATAACTGCAAAGAAACTGGTGGAGTAAAAAGTTAGAATTAAAATACCCTTAGATATAACATTGTGTCCTTCAAAATGGAAGAATTTGTGCTCTCATTCCTGAAAATCCTGAAAAATAGGTTAACCAGGCTCTTCCTCAACATCTGTAAGTAAAGGACAACGTGACCTTTTTCTTTCTTATTCTCACCCCCACCCTGTCTTTGTGGTACTGGGAGTTAAACCCAGGGCCTTTGCACAGAGTTACATCCCCAACCTTTTTTACTTTTTAATTTTGAGACAAGCTCTTGATAAGTTGTTCAGGCTGAGCTTAAACTTGCAATCCTCCTACTTCAACATCCAGAATAGCTGGGCTACAGGTATGCGCCTTCACACCCAGCCCACACAACCTCATGAAGAAATGCTCACAGTGGTGTGGTCTCTTTGAATAAATTTTTGAATCATTCAGGACAAATAGTCTCCACAGTTCTATCCTTTGGTCCTATTGTGTATTCTGGAATTAAACAGAACAGGCATGTTCTTCTACTTGAGAGGCCACTGGGAGTCTGAAAGGAGCTCCTTGCGTATTGCTTCTTTAGAGAAAAGACTTTCATTTCAGTGCCTCTATCTCTTCCCTTATGACTTGGCCTCAGGAACTTCTCTGCTCCTCAGTGTCTACAACTAGCACAAAGCCTATGTGATGTGAACATTGTGCTTCTGTAGCAATATGCCTAGGCTTGTAGTTTGTACCAAAACTGCAGAAATCTAAATCTGCTAGGTCTTTTTCACTTGAGCTACCATGATGCCAGGGTCCCCCACTCCATACATTCCCTAAGGAATATTCTTCCTTTTACCATCAATTTAAGTCAACTCATGTAGACTAAAGTCCTTTAGAACTCTGTCACTCCACAAATAGTGGAGCAATCATTTCAAGCTGGAGAGATTTTCGAGAATGAGGTAGAATTTGAGCTACTTCTTTAAGGAATTAGTGGGTAGAGGAGAGTGAGAGAAGGTTCCAGCGGGGAGAATTTCCCCATTCTATACTCAGAAGTTCCCAATTATTTACCAAGCATTACACTTGGTGCTCAGAAGCAGACTGGTGCAGCTGTAAACTTAAAGTCATCTCTGGGGCCAGAGGACTCTAAGCCAACTTACCACCAGTCAGGAGGTGTGCACTAAGCATTGCCAGAGCAGATGACCAGGGATCTCAACCCAGCAAAGGCTTCTCAGAGGAGGTGACATCTTAGCAGAGTGTGGAAAGAAGAGCAATTTCTCTAGGCAGAAAGGACAGGTGAGGGATCCCCATGAGACTGTGCCTGGAAGTGTCATGAAGAGGCACATGCAGAGGGTGTGCAGAAGTATAGACTGACACCTAGGACCCGTGTTCTCTGCAGCCTTGAGAGGCCTGTGGTAGGAACCTCAGCTGCATCTGATCTGGCACTTCTGAGGCCCGTAGACTGGCCACCTCCTTGTTTTGCAGACTCTGAACCTGCCAGACTTGTCTGACAGGTGAGCTGCAGGTGAAATCTGGGACTTGGAAATTGGGCCCTCCCTTGGCTTCTGCTTTGGCCTCCAGGGTTTAGACAGACACACTGGAGACAGACCATGGCATGTAGGACTAAGGGTACACAGGGCATCAAGGATGATCTAAAACTGGGGAAATTTAGCATGATCAGCTTTTAAATAGAATGTTTGGGTTAATAATGATGCATTACTCATTTTGGGAAGGAAAATATCAGAGGACATTGCAATCATAATAAAATAAATGCACTGGTTTCTCTTTCCTTGGATATTAGTTACCTATGGCTGCACAAGTTATTCCAGAAGCTTGAGATCACCCACATGGATTAGCTCACACAGTTTCTGAGGGGAAGGAATCCGGAGCAGCTTGGCTGGGTGATGGTACCTCAAACTCCCTCCTACAGGCTGCTGTCAAGCTGTCACCTGGCTGCAGGTGCCAAAGCCTGATGGAGCTGGAGGGACTGCTTCTGCAGTCATGCATGCAGCTGTTGGTAGGAGACTTCAACTTTCCCTATATGGGCTGCTCATAGCATGGAAACTGGCTTTCCCCAGAGTGAGTGAAGGAATAGAAATTGAAATAGAGAAGCCAGAGTGTTTGGTATAACCTAACCTCAGGAGTGGCCCTGTTCCACGGTCACAGAGATAGCCCTAGTACCACATGGAAGGGACTTCATATAGGTGTAGGGATCATCATCAGCTCTATTAGTTTCCCAAGGCCACTGCAGTCAATTACTACACATTTATTGGCTTACAACAACAATTTATTCTCTCATAACTCAGGAAATTAGAAGCCCCAAATCAAGGTGTCAGCAGGGCTGCGCTTCCTCTGAAGGCATTAGGAAGAATTCTTCCTTGTTTCTGATGGTTGCCGCAATCCTTGCTGCCCTTTGGTTTAGGGTAGCGTAACTCCAACCACTGCCTCTGTCTTCATGTAGGCGTCTTTCCTGTGCCTCTTCTGTGTCTCTGTGTCCTCTTCTTATAAGGACACTCGTCTGTGGGACTTAGGTCCACCCTAATCCAGCATGTCTCAGTCTTAACTAATGGCATCTGCAAAAGCGCTATCTCCAAGTAAGTTCCCAGTCTGAGGTGCCAGGAAGGACATGAATTTTGGGAAGAACATTGTTCAGTGCGTACAGTGGGCCTCTTGGATGCTGGATCCCACACCTGCAATCCTAGGGGATGCTGTGATCATTCCAGGGCAAAGTACAAGTGTTTTAAAATTATATTTGTTTTTGTTTGGTTGGCTTTCCCTTTTTCCATAAACCCTTTACCCATGTGACTCCAGCTACAGTGACTTTGTCGTGATCTCTTTCCTGATCCCTGCTCCTTCCACCTGGACCAGCCAAGTTAGACTGAGTTTGCATTTCACTCCAGGGAGGTGGAAACTGAGGACAGTGAGAAATTATGGCTGCTCCGCTTACCTCAAGATTACTTTCTTTTCTGATTATTGCATAAGTAGTCCATCTTCATTTTAGAAAAATTAAGACTACAGATAAATAAAAAGAATAAAAAGTAAAAGTATTCTATAGTCCTGCCACCCAAACATTCCCACAAATGATGTGCAGTCTTCCAGAGTATTTGTATGGATAAATATACCAATAGGCATTTTTTAAAAACTTAAAATGAAATTTCAAGACATGTTACTTTGTACACACTCATGTACACACACATGTACACACTCTTCTCACTTAATATGTCCTAAACATCTTTCCATGCGAGTAGAGACTAGGATCTGAGATTTTCCTCATGCCTTGGGTTTCAAAAACAGATGGCATGCATGCCCGTCTTCTGTCTTCTGAGCTGGAACCATTTTCTCTGACACCCCACCCTCTCTCCACAGAGCCAAAAAATGAGGCGGAGATGGAGGAGGCCACAGATGATGGTAGGGTTAAGGGGTGCTTAACTGCATGATCACCTCCCTCTCCTCAGGGGGAATGCCTGGAACTCCAGGTGGAATCCATGCATTGGGTCAGGCAGCATCCAGCATGAAAGATTCCCACCCATCTCCTCTCTATTAGTTTTAATGTTGCCCCCAGTTTACCCATGTGGTTTTCACCAGGTTTTCTCTCAGTAATACTGCCCAATGGTGAAGGAATCTGTGGACAGAGCCCCAAATCTCAGAAGAATTTATCAAAACACAAGGGCAGGAGAAAAGCAAGAGACTATGTCCTCTAAGTCAGATGTAAGAGTCCCAAGAGCAGGGGTTGTGGGTCACCCCCTGTGAGGCTTGGCCTAGCCAGAGCTGACTCTGCCCAGGGAGTGTTAGGGGTCAAGTCGCCCTAATCACACTGCTGGAAATAGAAGTCTGTGATGGGGGCATCCCAGGGGGCGTCCTTAGGGATCTGAGAGAGCGTGACAGGCTGGTCAGCTTCGGGCGCTGTACAGAGGAACCAGCCCGGGTATGCAGCTGATTCAAAGCTGGAGGTGAGCCCCAGGTCCTGGCGGTAGAAGGTGAAGCGCTTGGACTCCTGGGTGCCGAGGTAGAGCTCCATGATGTTCACTGGCTGCCGGAAGAGGGGCAGGTGAGGGTAGGTGCAGGGACAGTGGAACAGATTGCTTGGGAGAAACGAAGGCTCGGGGAGGAGGCAGTGCTTCACAGTTCCCTCAAGAGTATCCCAAGTGCACTGAAATGCACTAAGCCCAGTGTGTTTGCTCTGCATCTGTGGGCTTACTCACTGTGTGGCGAGGATACCCCAAGAAGACTCACCTCTAGTTTTAGAGTGGGTTCCTTCCCTGTTCCACATGACAGGCACTGGCTCCCTCCCTGGACTCCCAGGATGACTGGGAATAGACTGGCGTCCAGCCACCGATTGGGAACAACACTGATCTCTTCACCTACAGGAAAGAAACAAATTACAGGGACCTTGGCTGCCCTTCTGCCCACTGTGCCCTTACCCTGCGCTCTGGGTTCAGGACCAGTATGCGATGCCTGAGCCCACCTGGGCAGAAGGAAAGCCTTGAGCACTGTCACATGGGTAAGGCTACACTCCTGCCAGCAGGCCCAGTGTGGACATCAAGGCACAGCAGGACATCCTGCCCCATCCAACCCCAGCCTTCCACTCAGCCAAATCTTCAAATCTCCATGTCTCTTCTAAACTCCAAGAGGCCACCTCCTCATCACCTTTACTGCCCTGGCTGCCAGGCCTGTCTTCTGAAATTTCTGTTAATGTCCCATGAGAACTGTTTGGGATCTTTCTACCCTGTGAGACTCCCAAAAGCAGAAGCAGGTCTCATTCTTCTCTGTATCCCTCATCGCTGACATGCACCCAAGCACAGACATGCATGCACACTCATCACACACATGCCCACATAGGCACATACGTACACATAAAACACATATGTATACTAATATACAGGTTGTGCATATACATATGTACACACACATACAGGTAATATTCTTACATACCCACATACATAGGCACACCCATATACACACAACCATTACACCTGTACATAGTTTGCACACAATATAGTTACACATGTACACACATGTAATGCTCTTACACACACTCACATGTACACACATAATACTCTTACATACATACCAGTACTCACTCACGTATACACACAATTAGCAGAGGGATCTGCCTGGCTCCAGTCCCCCAAAGAATGCGCAGGTGGGCAGGTATGCTCTGTTGTAGAAAGACCCAATGCAATTTGGGGTCCAGTGAATCAGCATGAAGCCACACAGCACCACCTGCTGTCCAGGTCCCACCACGCTGGGCGAGTGAGGACCTTCAGAGAGAGAGGGGAGTAGAGTGGGGAGGAAAAGCCTCAAAGGAATATAATTCAGTTCTTCCCTCAGCACCTACTCCCAAGGAGAGGGAATTTTTGACCTAGTCTATCTGTGAGGGAAGGACAGGCCACTTGTCCTGGGAATATACTCTCTGCAGAGGTTTCAGGCTGCATAGGGCCTGGGTCTTCACTTTGCTAGAAGCGTGGTTTTGGCACCCTAGCTAACCTGGTAGATCTGGGGTGTGCGGACTTGGGTTGATTTATATGACTGCTTGAGGCCTCTTATGGCCCCTCCTCACAGAGGGTGGAGACCTGCGGACCACGGGGTTAGGCTTTGCCACCAACCTTTAATGACCTTCCCACTGGGTTAGGCTTTGCCACCAACCTTTAATGACCTGCCCTGCATGCAGCCCTCCAGCTAGAAGCTGGTTATCATGCAGATAAAGCACCTTCAGGGCTGAATCTTTCATTCTGAAACAGAAGAGGAGACTTTGTTAAGGGAGAGGTGAGTGCTCCAGTTTGACCAAGCTCGAGTTCTCCAGCCTCAGGGATCTTGTCTCCCTCTCATCCCAGTGCACCAACGGAACACAACCTTTCTGCCTGGCTCATGCCCTACTGGTGCAATGAGCCCGCACCTCCATCCCCTGGGGTTTGCATCTTCACCCTATTCAGTCTTTTCTATCCCAGCCGACCTCTCCATTTTCTCTACCAGAAGAGAAACTGGATTGTGTGTGGGAGCCCTGTACTCTGCCACCACTGCTGCTGAGCCACAGCAGACAAGTCACTTGCCTTTTCAGAGCCTGAGTCTCCTTATTGCTAAACTAAGCAATACCCAAGTCTGATTAGAATCCAATTCTTCAATTATTATTGAGGACTTCAAGGTACTTGATCACATGTTCCATCCTGTGTGAGGAGTGCCTATAATGTAAAATTATTTTGCTCTGCAAAGTTATTTCTCATGTATGATTTTTGTGGGTTTTCTGATAGCCTGTGAGAAGAGAGACCCCCACCTAATGGATTTCTCCAGGTGTTACATGTCTGGCCCAGCATAAGTAAACAAGTTGTGTTACTTAGTGCCCTGAGTTGCTATGTGGACCTTCTACAAGAGGTCACGTGGAGCAGCATTTTCCACATCAGAGAATTCCCTGTCCAAAGCATCTTACAGAACTGAGACCCTTAACGCATACTTTGAAAGATGCTACTACGCCATCCCTTGGTATCCATGGAAGATTGGTTCTAGAACCCCTACAGGTACCAAAACCCACCATAGTAATTTGCATAAAACCTACATACATCTTCCCATCTTTAATTACGTCAAGATTACTTATAATAGCTAATCCCATGCAAATGCTATGTAAATAGTTGTCATACTGTATTGTTTAGGGAATCATGACAAGAAAAAGGACTATTTTCAGAACAGATACAATAATTTTAATATTCTCAATCCACAGTTGGGTTGACTCTGAGGATGTGAACAGCTGACCATACTAGAGTCATTCCAGAGAGGATCATTCTTAGCCTTTGCTGTCAAGCACAGGGCATAGCCAAGTGACTGGCTCAATGCATACTAAAGGAATGGATGGGCAGACAGACTCATAATTTTGTTTTATTCTTGCCCACCCTACCTCCTACACAAAGGCATCACAGAGGAAGTGACGCAGAGGCTGATGTCAATTCCCTGCCGTAGGAGAGAGCAGCAGAGCGCTGAGGGGGGCTCCTGACTCCTGTCTTCACTAAGGATAGACCAGGTTGCAGCTCTAGACTGGGTGGTTACTGTGCCCCCTTAGCATTAGGGCCCCTGTGAAGTGCCCTATCCCATGCTGTTCTAATCTAAAGAAAGTTAGAAGAGCGCTCAAGCCAGTTGGATGCTGCTCCCCACTTCCTAGCTGCCTGCTCCACCTGTGAGAGTCCCAGTGGGTACCTTCAGCTCTTCCCTTCTCCTTCACAAACTGGACAATAGGTCTACCTGGAGCTCACTTTCCTCGGAGATCACCACCAAATCAGAGGCCCAGACACTCACCGGAAGCAAAGTGCCCCACTCAGGACCATCTTGAGCTCCACAGTGTGTAGATGATCCTGTTTTGAAATAAACAGGCACAAATTTAAGTAGAAAAGATGCTGGGCTTTTGAGCCCGAGGTAGTCAGCAAGGTCCTCAGCCTCCCTATATGGGAACATCCTCCGTCAAGCAGGAGCTTGTAGATCTGGCATTCAGGAGAGAGCCCCAGGCTTGTCAGCACCTCCCAAAATACCTCGAAATGCACCTCTTGCTGGTAGGAATCCAGGAGTCTGCCTGCTCCTCCGGGGATACATCGGTCTTTTAAGGCCATTAAGGAAGCAGGGAGGATCCCTGAAACTCACCATCCAGGGAGGAGCAGGGTTGCATAGCTTGATTTTACACCACCCTAAGCCTCCAGAAATGCCTACTGCTGCTCATTATCTCTCTCAGGGAAGGGGAAGGAGGCTGTGGAGACAATTCCCCACCAGCATTTCTAGACAACTTCCTTGGGGTTTTCCAGCTCTCAAGAACACTCAACTCCTGCTGGTCCAGGAAACCAGATTTTAATCTAGCTTTTTCCTACTTCCCTCTCTCTGCCCTCCTCACTTTTCCTTGCTTCAGTCCCTCCTTCCTGCCTGCCCTTGTCCAGCCTGTAGGAGATGGTGGAGGCAGGATCTCCTGTTTAGGGGAGGTGCAGACTACAGACTCATTGTAGAAAAACCTGCAAATCCAGAAGAGCAAGAAAGAAAAACATTTAAGTGTGTTTGTGAAAGTACTATCCACAAACCAGTGACAACACTTTTTCCTTGCACGCATGTAACTATAGACAGATTTTCTGTCTTTAGCATCATAGAAACTATACTCTTTTTGTTTTTTATGTAGCAAAATAGCAGGTTATTTTTCCATACCAAATGTGAATAATGAAATTATTATGGCAGCTAAGTTCCATAGAAATTAATAAGAACTCAAATGGGATGGGTCCTTGAGACAGTCAGTGCAAAAGATGGAAACACACCAAAACTGTGGCTGGAAGTGCATCCACAGGCCTCAAGATAAAGATGCAATGACCAGGCCTACATACCTCCCTGAGAGATAAACAATAATTTGAGACTGTACTGTGACTGGTATCACCTGGTCCAGTAAAATCCAGATAGACATCAGTCCATCCAGGTGGGTGACCAGAGCATCTGGGTGCATCCCTTCCAAAAATGCCTTTCCATGAACTTTTGCTACATGACTTGCTTTCCTATTGGATCAATATTAGCGAAGCAGCTATACGTATAATGTTATAGGTCGATTGTAGTTTGACCCATGTTGCATCCACATTGTGACTGCTGTATAAATTACCCCTGACAAAGGAACTTGGCAGCAACCCACTTTCAGAACCCCTCCTATCTCTCAAGAGCTCTCTCTCAATAAAACTTTCCTACTCTTAATCTCCACTGCCCCTTGGAATTCATTCTTTGATTTTGGAGAATATGAATGTGGAATATCTGACATCTAGCAGGTTATTATCTGTCCTTTATATTATTTTAGGTACTGTTTATTTTTGTTATTGAACTCTATGTTGTGACAGCATCTATAATTTGATAATTGCTCTTTCTTAAATACCTAAAATTGGTAAAATAAATTGTAAAACAATTAATGCACTTTTAATGCCTCCACAAACTCTATGGGATGGATCTGAATTAAAGGAAAAAAATAAAAAGAAAGGAAAAGGTAAGAATCGGTGCAAAACAATTTATGCCTTGAGTATCACTGATAACTATTGTTAAAGTATACATTTCAAAGAAGTGATATTCAGGCACATGAGCTAAAAAGTCCTTAAAGGGATAGAGAACATAGAAAATACTATTTTTTTCATAACAAGAAAGTAATTCACTATTTATATAATGTGACTAATGCAATAAGCATCTTTCTGAAAAATTAATATAGAAGCTGCATTATTCAGAATTATTAAATGGTCTACACACACTGGTTTTGCAACACTGATATAGTTTCAAAAAACAAAACAAAAATTCCAAAGAGTTAATCTGTTAGCCATGTGGTTGTAAGCAAACACATTCTCAATCTCAAAGTGATTGTCAGAAAATTGGACAATATTTCTACTTCTTAAAAACCAAAAGTCCATCTTCCTGGGCCACTATCCCTAATTCCTGCTTCTGTAAATATGCCCTTGTACCTGCTAGACATTGCTATGGGGCTAGTAAAACTCTTTCCACATTCTATCCAACAGACAATTATGCCTGCATATGACTGCCTGGGTCTCAGAAGTTGCCCCACTAAGCTAAGCATGCAGGGGGCTGTCTCTGCCAGCTTTGATTATTATGAAATGAGGATCCATACAGATGAATGAATGGAGAGATGCATGACTGAGCTAAAAAGAAAATGAGAAAAATAAAGCAAACCTTTCAGAAAACACTTGAAAGTAAGAGAAAAAATGGCAGTGTGGGTTCCCAACACTGTCAAACAGGTCCCACTGACAATTAGCTGTCCCTGGAATGGGTCTATTGGTTTGACCTACTAATTCCTACTGATAAGGTACCGATGTAGCCTTATGATTTGAAAGTTTCCATAAAAACTTATGATGAAATTTATTCCCCATTGTAAGGTAATAAGAGACAATTAAGTCAGGAAAACAGATGAATGAACTGAGCCATTATATATCACTTGATGAATGACTTAATAGGTTATTTCAAGAATGGGGCTGTTGTAAGAGCCAGTTTGGCTCTATCTTTTGGATGGAGCTCTTCTACCATGTAATGCTCTGTGCTGTCTCTGATCACTGCAGAGTCCCCACCAGCAAGGAGGACCTTATCAGACACAGCCCCTAATCATGAACTTCCCAGACTTCTGAACTGTGAGCTCAATAAAACTCTTCTCCTTCTAAAGTACCCAGTCTCAAGTATTCTGTTATGGCAACAGAAAACAGACTGAAACACAAACTTTGTGAAGTTAGTTATGAACTAAGAGAAGATTGAAGAATTATGTTATTCTTGTTGAAAGTAAAAATAGCTCTAAATGGCATATTTTATTGCCTTGCAATTCATTAAGCAGGTTTTCAAAATAACTTTTAACCAACCTATTCCAGCATTTCTTTCCCTGATATTAATAAAATCCTCTGGTCCTTGAATCACCTTTTGACAATCACCTTTATCATACTTCTGATTTCCTCACTTAATAATAGTAAATCTTTCATTACTGTTCACCACATTTGTATGAGGGCCAAATTTTGAACTTTAGAATAGTAAACTTTAGTATTACCTAAGGTCAATGTTATTTTACTCCAAATTCACACACGATATAGGGTAGATTTAAAATAAGTTCACAAATACTTTGATACTCCATACTGTGAGAGGTAGGTCTTTAGTTCCCTGCCTTTGAGTGTCGACTGCACCTAATGATTGGTTTGTAATGAATGTTACAAGGTGGAACATGACAGTGGGTCACTTCTGACACAGGGTTATAAAAAGCACTGCAGGTACATCTTTACTGTTTCCTGGATCATTCACCTGAGGGAAGCCAAATTCCCTGTGATAAAGACACTCCTGGGGCTGGGGATTTAGCTCAGCGGCAAAAGCGCCTGCCTGGCAAGCGCAAGGCCATGAGTTCGGTTCCTGGTACCGGAGGGGAAAAAAAAAAAAAAAAAAAGACACTCCAGAGGCCGTAAAGAGATGCCCAGGCAGGGAGGAATGCCAACCAGCATTCTAAGAGTGAGCAACTCCAGAATTCTAAGCTGAGATCCTCTGCTCCTGTTTCAGCCTTCAGATGTCAGCACCCCTGCTGAGATCTTACCTGAACCTTAGGAGAAATCCGTGAAGCCAGTCTTCTGGTTTCTGATTTCTAAAACCTGTGTATAATGATAGATGATTCTTGCTTTAAGTAGTAGTTTGGGGGGGGATTATCTTCCCATTCTGGGGCAAAATATCTGACATACACAATTTAAAAGAGAGAAAGGTTGCTTTGGCTCGTGATTTCCAAGGTTTCATCCATGGTTTTTGGGTACCCAGGCAGAAGCAGTATGACAGAAGAGCATAGTAGGGCAAAGAAACTTACTTCATGGGGTCTGTGAAGCAGAGAACAGGGGAACAGCACTAGAAAGGAAGTAGTGAAGGGCCAGATGCAGTCCCCAAGGTTATATCTCTATGACTACCAAGACACACCCAAAACTATGCTTTGCTAATCACACAGGCATCTCCCAAGCCAATCAAGTTGACAATCAAGATTAACTATCACAGCTATTAAACATAATAGCAGCCAATATGCCTTGTCATCATTATTGGCAGTTTCAATTACCTATGTTTTCTCATTTTCCCCACACTCTTCTCTGGGCTTTCTGTCTCAGCAAATATATTAGTTCTTTGTAGTCTTTGTATGCTCCAAAGATGTCACAGCTGCACTGAGACAATTTCTCTTATGGTGACTCATCATCATCTTTATGGGAATGCCAGGGCCTGTGGAATAGACAGATATAAAAACATAAGTGTAATCATTTTACGTCTATGTAAGCATAAACAACTGACTACAGTCTGACAGTAAATTCTTGTTAAGGAGATATATTTTATAATAATTAAGGTAACCAGGGGCTGGGGATTTAGCTCAGCGGCAAGAGCACCTGCCTGGCAAGCGCAAGGTCATGAGTTCGGTTCCCAGTACCGGAGAAAAACCAAAAAAAAAAAAAAAAATTAAGATAACCAGTATTCAGTTAGTGCTCAGTATGTTCCTGGAATTATGTTTAGTCCTATTTTTTTTTGTTTGATGTTCATATAGATGCCCATACAACAACTAGTATTATCTATTTTACAGATATGGAAATCAAGCATAAAACAGTTTACTATATTGCCCAGCATTTGACCAGTAATCAGCAGTAGGGTCAGATCACAGGAAACCTAAGTGCAAAGCTACTGACTGCAAGGTAGAGCAGTAGTCAGAGTAATCCTTTTATTCACTGAGTCAGAGTTGTCACTCTTTTGATCCCCAGACCTCTGTGAGTACAAGGCAGATCTTCACTGTGATTCCAAGGTCTTCCACTAATTGTTGGTTCCTACCTTCCTCATTCAGGAGGGTGAGAGCCATGTATACCTCATGTTCTCCCTTTAACAAGCCAAGCATAGTACTAAAGCTTTTGTACCAGCTGTTCTCCCTGCCTGGGAAGCTCTCTACCATTAGATCAGTATGGTTCACTTTCTAACCTCCTTTAAGTCTTTACTACAGTGCCACCGTCTCAGTGAAGCCCATGTTTACCATTTTATATTTTCCCCTCGTGCTGTCACATTTTTCTTACCATGATTCATTTCTTTCCATGGTATATACCACCATTTAACATATTGTATAGTTCATTCATTTATTGCTT